CGACTGGCGCGCTGTTGTTAACTCGGCTATAATCGCATAAGCGGTGTCTACGCCAGTAAAGAAGAAGTAGTTGTTTTTGAGGCATTGGAGGCAACTCTTACTTTTGTAAGATTGTGGCAAGTAAAAGGAGTAGTATTTGCYGTTGACAATTTTTTCCCCTAGGTTTACTTCCTCCATGTGATCTTCTAATACACCATTATATTCTGATTTGAGTTCACCTTTTTTAAAAGGAGTTCTTTCCATACTTAGAACCTGCTGTATTGCATCACTTCGGGAGTGATCTAAGGCGAGTGTGCTAGGGAATTGTTGCTTAAGTGGTAGTCGTTCGACGTACCGACCATTTTCTTATCTAGTAGTTGTGTCAATACTGATCTTTAGGTATTGTGATTGATATGGGGGGAGTTCTTCTAATCCACAAAACTTTTTCAATTGTGAATTGAGGTACTTGTTCGTGATTTCCTCAACTTCAGTTATCATTGCTGTGACGGGTTCCGTAACTAGACCACATAGGGTCCAACCCAAAATAGTCTTTTATGCCAGAAGTGTGTTGAGATTTTCTCAATACTTGGAAGCATATTTGTTAATTGCGGTAAGACTTCTTTTTAAATGCGCTTAAGAAATTTTTTCTTTTGCTACCATGTTGGGCGTTTGCTTCCCGATGAGAGCGAATGCTCCCACATAAGTAAAGATTTTTCTGGTGCATACATATATATTTACCAGAATAGGGTTCCAATTGCCGTTGGGAATGTTTTGTGTCGATGGAACCGAGAAACAGTTGGAAACAGTGGACTAAAGTTTGATAAATTCTTCTTTCCTTTTGAGATTTTGGTTGCTCATTAATAGGGATGGTAAATTCGATTCCGATTCTACTGGAGAATCGAGTTTTCTCGTAAAATAACCGAATTTTCGGAATCTATCTTCAGTAGTCGAAGTCGATTAAGAATCGCTTCTTGATATTCGACTTTGTCCCACTCTGTCATAAGTCGGCTACCGCGAGCATTGAATGGTGTTGTTTGATTTATCGCGCTTGTGGACAATTTAAAGGAAAGTTATTGAGTAAAATTTACTTATCGGTACCATCTACGTACTAAATTGTGTGAGTCAAATTTACTTATCAGTACCCTTTACGTGAGTCAYATTTACTTATCAGTAACTTACTAAGTGTCTAAAAAATATATTTTGTGCTGCATTGTGACAATTATGTTCTTCTATTGTATTATGTTAATGTAAAGAAAACTATAGAGCATATAAATGGCAGGTCACGGGCTATCAGAACAAAATATTTTGGATGCAATACKTGAACTAGAATCTGACGAAGAAGACAATTTGGAGTTGGAGCTTTGTAACTTTGATGAGGATTCTTGGGACAGTGTTGCAGATGCCGAATATCAACCAGAAACGGAGGAATTAAATGATGTCGAAGAAAATTTGATACACGTAATCATAAATGCAGAAGAAGCTGAAACAGAAGAAAGGGAGGAAACACCTGGAAGCAGCAAACGTAAAAAACAGAAACTTAGTGAAGGGAGAAGAAATGGAAGATTAGCTGCTCAAGAAATTCGTGAAACAGAAGAGGTAATTACAATTATTACACCTAGTACAAACAATCTAATCGGAAAAGATGGAAATTTTATTTATAGTAAGGCACCTACCCTTGCTGCCCTAGGTCAAAAACCTCCYTCCATAAATATTTTTCACATTCGCCCTGGCCCAACAGCAAATGCAAATAATTCATTGTGTCCTTCCAGCTGCTTCAAACTATTTTTTTCCGCAGACATATTGGAAGAGATTTTGGTTTATACAAATAAAGAAATAAACATTCACAGGAAGAACTATAACGATAAAACTCACGCGGTTTTGTCAAATTTGGAAATGGACGAACTTGAAGCATTCCTTGGTTTGTTAGTCTTGTCCGCTGCTTTCAAAGATAATCACTTGGCAACACATATTATGTTTGACACTACCTACTGTGCGGAAAGGTAAAAGGCAACCATGCCTGAGAGAAGGTTCAAATTTATCCTAAATTGTCTAAGATTCGATGACAAAGAAACAAGAACTGCTAGAAGAGAAATGACCAAACTAGCTCCAGTTTCTTCTATTTGGGACAAACTTCTAAAGAATTGCAGGGGCATTAGAGGCAAATTTCCATTCAGGATGTATATTCCCTCTAAACCGAAAAAGTATGGGATCAAAATTGTCATGTCTTGTGATAGCGGAACAAAGTATATGTTGGATGCCATTGTTTACCTTGGAAAAGGGCACAAATCGKAATGTCAGGATAGACTATTGGTTTACGACTGTACCACTCATTCAACGTCTCCGTCATGAATACAAAATAACAACTGTTGGCACAATAAAAAAAAAAACAAAATAAACCACAATTGCCTATTGAAGCTACAGATATAAAGTTTCAAACACGAACCGCATCCACTTCATTGTTTATATTTCATGAGGATTTGACAGTTGTATTATGCAAACCCAATAATAATAAACTTGTATTATTGGCGTGTTGTATGCACCGTACAGGTAGTATTCAGAAATAGTGTATGTGTACAACTCAACAAAAGGAGGAGTTGACAGTTTTGATCAGATGTGCCAAAACATTAACCATGGCAGGAAAACCAGGAGGTGGCCTCTAGCATTTTTCCAAAATATGAAGAACATAACTGCAATAAACGCATACATCGTTTACGCGCACAACATGTGTAGCCATGGGCAAGAGCCAGAATCCCGACTTAATTTTATGTTATCTCTACACAAGGAGTTAACGGGAGGATTTCAAAGGAAAATATTAGCTACTAATACAAACATGAGTCTGGCGTTGAAAAAATCCATTCAAAGTATTGTAGGCACAAGTCAAGAGGCCCATAGCTCCGGAGACGACCAAAAGGRGAAGAAAGTCTGTAATTTTTGTAGTTATACCAAACGTAGATACACCACAACTTATTGCAATTGTGGATTAGCTATTTGCGGTGAACATGCCCAAAAAAGTGCCCTGACTGTGCTTGAAAAATTTCTATGCATTCACCATCGTCAAAAATTAATAATAAAGTATTATTTTTGCTTACTATATATATATTTATAAAAGACTACACTTATATTATGTGCTGACTTTAAATTTTTTTTTCATTTAAAACTACTACTTTACAAAAAAATCAGATAATAACGTAAAAATTCTGAAGTAAAATTTACTCATCGGTACCTATAAGCGCCTACAATTTAACCGTACCCTTCTAGGGTTAATAAATATTATGTAGTTTAATACTCGTGACAGGCAAGTAGTAACAATACCATAGTAAAGGTATCATGGTATTCTGCTTACTAGTAGTAAACTGAAATACTACCTTTGTTTCATAGCCGTTAAATATTACAAAGAAATTGTAAGCAATAATTCCTTTGCATAAGAGTGGACTTAGGTCATCTATTGAAAACTATAGGCTAAGTTGTCTGCAATACCTAAACTTTTTGAAGCAATTATAACAGACGACATAACCTTCCGGATCTCTCCACTAATTTCTTGTTCTCAGCACGGTTTTCGTAAAGGGAAATCCACAATAACTAATTTGCTTGAATTTGTATCACATGTAACAACGGGCTTTAGGGAGAATAAGANTGTTGTCGCCTGTCTTTGTATTTTGTTTAGGTCTTGCCACTGCACTGTCACTTTATATGTACATATGTATGTATCGCAGGTGTAATTATTCTTTTTTTTTTTTTTTTTGTTGTTGAAACCGTCCGGAACGGCTCGAAGGACCATCTATAAATTGGATGCTCAATTTAGTGGGAAACATCCAGCACTTTATTAATTTTTAGTTTTTATTAAACCATTAACTGCCAAAGAATACACATTATTTTATGATTAAGTATTAAACACTTAAAGAGTTAACTTTATTGAATTTTCATAAAATTAAAAGAAGTGATTGCACAAGGAAATGTCGTCCATACCGCAGAGGAACGCTGAGAACTTAACTGTATTTCCGAACGTAGAAGCATTGAATTATGTCTTTTGTGACAATGTAAGCAATTAAATTTGCTTTTGCAATTTTTATATGTATTTACATGTGACAGACAATTTGTCCAAAGTCTTTTTGACCTGACAAAATGTTTTCGTTCGTTAAGTGTTAAGCTTTTAAACCTCTTGCAAGATTTAAGTTTATGCGCTCTTACACATAGTTCGCATTACGTTTATTTTCTTTGCTCTGATGTGAACGTTTGTATTTTGTAAAAGCTTTTGTTTAATTTTTTTTGCTTCTCGCTTGGGCTCTATTTAAGCTTCAGTTTTGGTCGTGTTTAATGTTCTTAGTTTTGATAATTTTTTCTTCTAACCTTTTCGTAATTTCATATTGGGTGGTGAAAAAATCTTACATTTGTTGCCAACTTGGGCACTTTTCTTTCTTAATTTTTGGCAAGTTCATTAGTGTCGTTACTTGTTTATCGACCAGTATTCTTTCGTTTTCATATCTCGCTTTTAGAGCTTCCTAAGCCAAATTGAAGTTATCGTCACTAAGAGCGAACTATTTTACTATAACGTCTGCTTGACCTTTGGTCTTGTATCTGAGGTGATAAAATTTTTGTGCTTTTGATAATTGCGGATGGTTGATGTAAACGGCTGTAGAGATGTCCCGGAAGGACGGTCATTCTTCATAACCTCCATAGAATGTTTCTGTGTCATTTGCGGGCACCACGAGGTAGATGCTTGAACTTGCCTTTTGACCAGTGGTCGGCATTTCATAGCAAAATTTTGCAAACTAACTTCACACGTACGCTTACGCTCTATCGTTCAGTCGTTGTCGAGCCAGTAACGAATTAACATCGCGAAGGACTATAGCGCAAAACCAAATATATCCTGCGAGAAGTATTTTATGATTCTAAATGCCTTTGGTGCCATGCAATGCAAAAAATAACTAATTAGTTACGTAAAAACGAATACTTAGATTATAGTGAACGTATTAATGAAAACTTAAAAACACAGCTATCAAATTCCATTAATTTGGAGATTGTTAGGAAGGGTAAACCGTTTTCCGATGGAGTCTTTATTAAAAAAAAGTGTGGTAAAGTTTTGCAAAAACTTAGTTATAATCAAACATTTATAGATAAACTTCCCTTATCACCTAGAAGTGTAGCGCGACGCACCGATGAAATAGGAGCTCGTATTGAATGTGAAATAAAGGAAAAAATTGAAAATTGTAAATACTTTTCGATTTGTTTAGATGAAAGCACAGACCTTAATGGCCTATCTCAATTAGCTTTATGCGTGCGATGCGTAAATACTAATTATGATATATTTGAAACCGTATATTCTCTAGAAAGCTTTGATTCGAATTTAACTGGAAAGTTGTCTCAAAAAATATGGTACTAGGTCAGTATTTGGCGTTCGTATGTGTCAGTTTTTTTATGACCTTGTAAATTTTTTCGTTTTTTCGCTTAGTTGTAACATTTTGGCAAAAAAGTAGTTTTTTTTTGTTTGTTTGAAAAGCCCAGCGATATATGTAAGTCGATATGAATTTTACTTGCACTCACAATTAATAATTCTACGAAGTGATCGGGAAGTTTCAAACAAATCAAGTATTATTGAATTCTGGCAAAATTTGGATGATTCATTCTACTCTGAAAAAATGCATTTAAATGTTAATCATTTTTCCCCCTTCTTATAAATGTGAACAAATTTTTTCAAATTTAAAATTTATTTGTTCCAAACAACGAAATAAAATTTTAATAATAAATTGTCATAAAAAGATTGATATAAATAAATGTATTAAAGATATAACATTAAACAATTAGTTTTATTATATATATAAATTATTCCCTTCATTTCGAAAACTGCAGAACTTCTTATTTACCTGTTCATTATTTGCTCTGAGTTTTGAATAATCGTTTATTTATATATAGCTTTTAGATTTATTGAATATTTTCATACAATTTTGCTCCAACATAGTGAAAACATATTTAATTTTCAAATTTTATTGAATAATAATTTATTTTATAACTTTGCTTATAAAATGTATTTAATTTTAATTCCAATTTCTCACTGGGCTACTTTTTTTTCGTGCTCCCCAAGACAGTGACAGATCCTCAAAATTATTATAACAATAATGCTTTCAATATGAAAGTATAGGTAATCACGAACTCTTTTAAGACACTATACCAGTGTGCCACTTAAAAAAAAAAATTTTTTTTTTGTCTTTTCGATAGTTTATATTTCCAAAAATGTTCTGTGAAATCGGCATGGTCGTAACCTGAATAGTTTTTGGATATCAGCATCCTAAAGAGCGACCGCTCTCAAATACAAACATATACTATATATGTGAAATTTTAAACGCGTTTTCTCCAAACTACATTTTTCAGAATTGTTGACATCATAACTCAACGAAAAATTAACCGATCGACTTCAAGTTACAATGAGTATTGCTGACTACATTTACTATAACATGACCTACGGTCCTTTTGATTGGTTTCAAATTGTCAATTTGGCATTAAAAAACGACCATATTCTACCTAAAAAAATCATTATGTTCAAAATTACGCCATTTTATTCGTTTTTGATATTTTTCAAAAAATTGTAGGTTTTTGTAGAAAAAATATCTTTAATTTTAATAATGTCAGCAGCTGATGCACTTTTTTGGCATCTTCCAAGACAGCACATCTTTTATATTTTTAGTATTTTTTTTTTTACACAAATCTTAAAATATAGTTGAAAATATACATTATTACGTCCAAAGATGTTCGATACATTCACGAGAATCGCCTCATTTTTCATGCGTTACACTGGCACAGCCCCTTAAGGTTCGATTATTATACAAAGCTAATGTCCTTTTCACAAAATGCTGATGACTTCAGTAAATATGATTTTTTTTTTCAAAAACAAATAGTGTGGTTAAGAATGTACCAGTATTAGTTTCGGCTTTGAATCCATTAATATATCCCATAACGTGCAACAAAATACTAATGGTAGACAGATTCGAAATAAAGTTACCATGTTACAATTTGTATTGATTCTAATTAATCAGCTGACATTTTAAATAAATTTACAACGAAATTTCATGAATGTATTGTCAAACACATGATCCACGGTTCATGCAGTGTTTTAAATCAAAGCTCTGTATGTATGTTATATTGAAAATGTTTAAAAAAAWTTTTCTGCAATCAACGAAAGATACAGTTAATGGATATCCGTTGTAAAGATGTCTCACACCATAATCCGTTTTGACATTCATTTGCCACAGAGATAAAATATTTTATTTTGTGAAGGCCAGGAACGTGAAGCAGTAGAAAATCCTCAGCTTATCAGGCTATTAGCTTCCTTTTTATTGCATCAAAGTGATCCATTTGCAAATAAATATACGTATAAAGAAATTGCTTTGCATTATGTTTGGAATAGTGGTAGAAAATCTTGGCGAAAAAGGCAACGAGGCGGAGATACAATTATTACTCGGATATATTTGATTTAAGATTGCTTGTGTTGCATGTAAATGGACCTAAATCATATGAAGAAGTTCGCAYATACAGTGGACTTGTTTATAGCCTTTTTATCTAAGCAGGTTATGCTTAATTCAGCAAAACAAATGCGTAATTGGTTTGCGAATATTTGTGCCATGAATATTCCAGTAAACGCATTAGCACTTTGGTTGGAATTTAGAGAAAATTTCGTAAAATCAGGATTCATGCCACTATCTCAGAAAAATAATGCTTAACATTGTAGCGAATACAGACTAATTATAGTAGGAACAGTGAAAAACGTAGAATCGTGGGTCGCTATGACCTATCTTATTGGCGCGCAGTGTAAGTACACAGTGAAAAACGCTACTCCCTTTTCTCTTTGANTATTCCCTTCATTTCTAGAACTGCAGAACTTCTTATTTATCTGTTTATTATTTGCTGTGAGATTTGAATAATCGTTTATTTATATATAGCTTTTAGTTTTAATGAATATTTTCATATCTTTTTGCTCCAACGTAGTGAAAACATATTTAATTTTCAAATTTTATTGAACAATAATTTATTTTATAATTTTGGTTATAAAATT